CCATCAGGAAGTTGGCTCCTTCTGCACATTGTTTAACAGCCAAAAGGGATACCAGGCAGCAGAGATGGCAGCCAAAATACATTCCTTTTCCAGTGTGATAACATCTTGTGGAGCAGACAACCCTCTATACCGGCAACAGCTCCAAACCGACTCCAGCTAAGCTGAGGGGACACGGGGTTTCTAAGGAGCAATCCAGGTCCAGCTGGGCGTGTTTCCTCTGAGAATAGGAAACCCACTCTCCCTCATCCTGGAAGCAGTCTGATTAAATGCTGTGAAGAAGTTCACACCTCTGTTCTCTGAAATGAGTCTGCTACACCAAAGTCTGCATTCTAAGATTCACAGCACTGACTGCTGCCAAGTCCTTTGAGATATTCTAGTTTCTTATGGTACTCTAACACCTTTCCAACCGTTTAAAATAGATTCTAGACTTGCCCGTGTGGTGTCGGTTCTAAGTGTTTGTTGCTATACAGTAACAGGCTTGCTGAATCAGTTTTATTGTTCTTGGCCATGTTTCTTGGACAAAGACATTTTCTAACAGGAAGACACAGGGGGGCGCATACACTAAACTAACATAACCTTTGGTTGTGAACAGCAAAAAGCAAAGATGAAAAGACTCCATGCTTCAGACACGGGCTACATAGACAGCAATAGATCAGTATTTTCCACAAATGTTATATTTCCATCGTGTAAGAAAATGCGGGAAAACAGTTTCATGTTTCTGACTGCAGTTCGTGGTAAAGATGTTCTCATGTGTGAATTAACCCTGCTGCTTGAGAGGACGCAAGGGTCCTTGGCACAAAGCAGCCATTTGAAAACTGCAGGTCACACGAAGAAGAGACTATACCAGCCAAGAACCTGGCTAAGCAGCTGCAACACGTCTTTGCTCTTCCTCCTCTTCCTCTTCCTCCTCCTCCTCCTCCACCACCACTACCACCACCACCATCATCATCATCACCACTACCACCATCACCATGACCATAACTGTCCTCAAATATTTCTGGCTGTTTACACTGCTATAATAAATATACAGTGTTTCTCGGGGGATGAAACCAACTTCGAACATTTCCCATAAATTCAAAATATCTTTATATGGGATCCTTTCTATTTTAGAATGTACAAAATTAGCAATTCCTGCTTATAATTTATTAAAACAAGGAGAAATTTTCAAAAGTGCAAGAATGGGGCTGGCACTGTGGGTCTGTGATAAAAGACAAACATTCCGAGTACAGTGCCCTGAAGTTGATCCCCACCATCCCAGAAACAAAACAAAACGAAACATAAAACGAAACAACGTGAGTGCTTAATGTTAAGTACAGAACAAGATCTGGGAAGATGGTTTATCAGTACTACTTTATCTAAAAGGCCTTTCTTTCTAATTAATAGGAGAGGTGGGAGGCAGGGAAAGGGATGGGGGGTGGGGGTGGAGAAGGAGAACCAAGCACCAAGCACCAAGCACCACAGAAAACAAAATGTTTTAGTTGTTTATAAAAGGAGACACTTTCAGGGCAGGCGGAAGACTCAACCTGAGCACCTAAATTCAATCCCGAAAACACATATGTCAAAAGGAGAAAATGGACTCCCAAGCTGTTCTACACATACAGCCAAATAAATGAATATTTAAATACAATAACTCCGTATTTGTTAAAGCTGTCGCCCAAATATGACCCCTAAGCCCCTCCTGTTACTAGCTTACAGCCGGCTGGAGTCAGGGCTAGTCTGAGTCAGGAAGTTGTCACACAGAAGACACAGTGTTGTGATGTTACTCAAGTGCATTGTCTAGACAAGGTTACAGATGTGCAAGTAAACAAATAAACTAACTGTTTCACCACCTACTGTTTCAAAAACAAACAAACAAATCTCAGGCAAGAGCAGTGATTCATTCTACCAAAATCATTCCCAAGCCTAGAAATATAACTAAAGTTCAAGAGACAGGCAGTACTAGCAAGTACAGTTCCTAAGTCTATTAGTCAAGTGGGACTTAAGGACTCTCACTGAATAACAATGTAACACTCAAAACCTCCCTCATCATCTTTTCATATTTACATAGTCATACACAGGGCATCAAAAGTGTCACTTGTTTTTGTCACCCTAATACAAAGTAGAGAGTCACCTAGGAAGAGTAACCTTCACCTGAGGAATTGCCAACATGAGACTGGCTTGTGGGCAAGTCCCTTGGGGCATTTTCCTGGTTGATGACAGATAAGGAAGGGCCCAGCCCACTGTGGGTGGTGCTACCCCTAGGCAGGTGGTCCTGGGTTGTGTAAGAAAGCAGGCTGAGCAAGTCAGGGGAAGCAAGCCAATAAGCAGCACCCTTCCATGGTCTCTGCATCAGGTCTTGCCTTAAGCTTCAGACCTGACACACCTCAGTGATGAACTGTAAGCTATAAGCCAAATAAACCCTTCCCTCCCTGACTTGCCCTTGGTCGGAATGGTTTATCACAGAAAACCAGGAAGTTAGTATGTTGGGTTCTCAAAATGGTTCATGGGGTAAAGGCACCTGCAACTAAGCCTGGGGACCTGAGTTCGATCCCCAGGACCCACAACGATAAATGAAAGAACTGACTGCTGAAAGCTGTCCTCTGGCCTGCACACACATGCCATGGTACACAATACTTCCCACACACAAAAGAAATTTAAAATATAATGCAACAGAAGAGGAGGAAGAGGAGGAAGAAGCAAAAGCAGCAGCAGCAATAGCAGTAGTAGCAGTAATGCCTGGCCTTTTAAAAAACTTAGAGGCTAGCCATCCGTGCTTTATACTCCCCCATATAAAGCTTCTGGGTGGTAAGAGACAGACTCTTTCTTATCTGTTTTTCCTTATAGCACGTTTGTTCCTTCAAAGATCACATGTTTGGTGCAAGAAAGTAAGTCTCAGCCATGTTAATATTCACAGTAGGAAATGTGGAAAAAGAGAAACAGACCAAATTTAAAAACTACAAATACAGTTGGAGACAAGACACCACATGGTGAGATGAAGCCACAAGTACAATTAGCAGCCTCTGCACTTCCTTCTCCACACCTCACGCAGAAACTCACCACAGAACACCCACTGCGTTAGTCCATGCCCATCTCCAACAGTTTTTCTCAGTCTTTTTTTTTAAGTTTTTAACTTTTAAAAAATAGATGTATGGGTGATTTATTTGCATGCATTTCTTTATACTCTTTGTATCCTTGGTACCAGAAAAGGGCATCGGATCCCCAGAACTGGAGTTACAGACAGTTGTGAGCCCCTTCATGAGTGACAGGAATTGAACTTTGGTCCTCTGGAAAAGCAACTGGAAAAGTGATCTTAACTGCAGGGCCATCTCTCCAGTCCCTCGCCTGTCTTAAAGAATTCTGAAGTGCAGACTTGATTATAAACTTTCTACTTATCTGAGGACAGCAATAATTCACTCTCAACAGAGTGCAATCTAGAACTCCTCACAACACTCAACATTGCTATGTTTAAAAAAAACAGTTAAGATCATTTAACATTTAAGATTTAGACCATCAAGGTTTTTAGGATTTTATAGTCAACTAAGCCCTAAAGTTCTTGGTGCACATGGACTTAACATGAAGTTATGCTACATTGATTCACTTATTATTATTATCATTATCATTATCATTAGCTAACTATTGGGATAAAAATGTTATAGCAGGTCAGAAATAGGTAAGTAAACAGGAGAGTTGCACCGGCTTTGGCAACAATCGCCGTTCCTGAATAAATCTCTTGAGAAGTTGGGGAACCTGAATCTATAGACACTGCTGTGTGGGTTTCCAGTCAAGTCCTGGGGAGCAAGCTTTCTGCTATAGCTAAAGCTGGACAGACAAACCAGAAACCTGTGGAACTGAAAACCAGCTCAATGAACCTGCAGACTACCCTGAGAGTATCCTGCATTTTATTTTTAAAAAGAATAATAATGATAAATTAAAGCTAATGACAACTGGGCCTAGGAATGGTTTTACCTTGAGGGGAAAATGTAGACTCCTAGAAATGTGTTGGAAGCCCTCTTTGTTGTTTTGGCTACAAAGAAAGCAGAAGGCCTTTCAAACAAAAGCGAAACCAAAAGAACAAGAAGCCCACTGGCAACATTATCCCTTATAAAGAGCAGCTGTGTCTGGCCTACTGGGAATTCTGAGCTTTAAAATTGGGTGTGTTTGCTATACTGCACAAGTCTGCTGACTATGTCCTACCCCTTACACACCAAGATGCTGGCTGCATGAGAAAGGACTCGGGCTGGAATCTGGGAGCTTGTTTCCATTCAGATACAAGGAATAGAACAACTTCACTCTCTCTCCTGAAGTAGCCAGAACAGTCAGCTGCAAAACCTGAACCCAAGGATTAAAACAATCAGTTTTCTTGAAAGTCTAGAACTAGTCTGCAACATTAGCGTGTTACACTCGGCTATCCGGTCTAGTCTCTGGCTTAATTCGATGTGAATTAAGAAGGCAAACTCTGTCTTGCCTAGGGAGCTCAGTGTTCTCCACGCTTCCTTTTCTTTTTTTCCCCCACTTTCACCCTGGCTGTCTTGGAACTCACTCTGTAGACCAGACTGATCCTAAACTCAGAGATCCAGCTGCCCCTGCCTCCTAAGTGCTGGTGTCAAAGGTGTGTGTCACTTTCTTAAAGGGATCAAACTCACAAAGAATGGCTTTCTCCCCTTCCCCTTGAAATGCCTTGACTATCATTCTTGTTCACTTTCTTCTCCCCTCTTCCTTCAAAGGCTACATGAATTCTCGAAGACAACATACTAGCATCCTTACACACGCCATCAGACAGGACACAGTGATGCTACTTAAGTCCTTCTCTTTCAGAACCCTGCCCTCCTGACACCTGGGGAAGCCCAGCACCAGAGTGACACTAAAGACCCTGTAAATCTAGGACAAAAGTCATTCTTAATGATCTCTATGATTTACTTGCAAGTGTGATCAAGAATTGCAAAGATGGCAGACAGGAACACAGGATGGTTTTGTGTTGGTCACTGAATGAAAGTGATCACAAGTTTCCACATTAAACCTACCTCAAGTTTAGGTGGGTCAACATCTGCAAGTTAACGATGGCCTCGGGAATGACTCTGATACAGTTGTGATACAGATTAAGGATTTCCAGTGACACGAATTGGCATAGCTCCATTGGCACTTCCACCAGTCTGTTTTTAGATAGATCTATGGAAGAAAGGAAAGAACACTGTCAGCACATCGCCAGCATCCCCGCAGCATCCCTGCAGCATCTCGCAGCATCCCCGCAGCATCCCCAGTGCTGTCAGCACATCGCCAGCATCCCCGATACCTTGTTCCTGCTTTCAATGCTATGATCTAAACTTCATCAACATCAATGTCTTTCTACCTCGTTTATAATTTCTATTTATTGGACAGATTCAGAAACACACACATACGGGACACAAAGATGCTGGTGAGACTTGGGGTCCCTGATTTGTGAATCTGGCTACATAAGAGGAACTTTTCACCTATTCTGAAAATTATCTTAGGCAAGAATATAACTCTTTTCACATATATAAATACCATAACTGCCCACTCGGTTTTGCATTCATTATATACACTTACTTTCCGATTAGAGTCTGCTTCTAATAGATACAAAATACGTCTTTTATATCTTCTACAAATATATAACCAGCATTAAAAAAAAGTTTTATTCACCAGAAAACTTACAATGTACAAGACCAAGAGGAACCAACTGTATCTGTTAACAGCCAGTGTGTGTTTGGCGAACAATTACCAGTAAAAGTGGACTCCACAGCCAAGTGTACAAACAGAGGCCTGTGGAGTGATTCGAACACAGAACATTCCCAAACCAAAATGAGGCGATATCCTTAAGGAATAAATATGGGACCAGTAGACAGGATGCCAAATACAGGAAGGAAAATACAAATACAGACACCACAACTGTGAGAAGTAAAGGTCAGACAGTTACCTGGAGGATAAACTGGGAACTTTATGCTCACGAACTTAAAACTTCCCAGACAGCTTGGAGGAAGATTTGACCCATGAGCACAAAATTATGACAAAACAAGTAACGATCTCCCTCCACCCTGAAACCCATGAGAAGGAATGAGGGACAGCAGCCATTCCATTCACTAACCAAAAGACTCTTCCTATATAAAGATAAGGAGATGCATTTGTCAGTAGGACTGGTGTGGGGGATGTGGCTTGAGGAGACCCAGCCATGTGTGAAGTCCTGGGTTCAGTCTGCAGCCCCACCACCAAAAACAGGGAGACAGCACACACAGAAGGGCAAGCCAAGGGCTCCTGAGCATAAAGCAACCCAACATTGTTTCAATTAAAGTAACACAAACTGTAACTGCATGAATGGCCTTTGTTTACCTTTTACACTAGTGAGTATCAAACAGTCTGATACAGACACTGCTACGATGACAACATGGTCAGTAAAAGGCTTTTAAGTGGTGACATTTTAGCAGAATCCATCATAATAGAAATGAGGGCAAGGAGAAACTGAGGCAGAGATCAAACAACACGAGGTTTCAGCTATTTAAAATGAGTAAAGCTGAGAAGGGTTTTACAGCTTGGAGTTCCAGTTCCTATTAGGAATGATGTATAGCTAGTCAGATGGATCAGCGGGTAAAGGCACTCCCCACCAGGCCTCATAGCCTGAGTGCAATGCCTGGAACCCTCAGAGTTGATGGAGAGAACCGATGCCTGTACGTGTGCCTCTGTCCTACACACACATGCCACTCCTACACACACATGCCATTCCTACACACACATGCCATGGCACTTGCCTCCTAAGCAATAAACACTAAAAATAAAAGTAAAATAAATTTGTTTAAAAAAAAAAAAGAGGGGCTGGAGAGAGAGCTCAGAGGCTAAGAGCACTTGTTGCTCTTGCAGGGGACCTGGGTTCAGTTCCCAGCACCCACAAGGAGTTCCCAACCATCTGTAACTCCAGTTTCAAGGGATCTGGCACCCTCTTCTGGCCACCACAGGCACCAGGCTCACACTTAGTTCACATACACATATGAAAACAAAAACAATAGACATAAAATAAAAATAATTCTTTAACAAAAGACTATTGGGACCAGCAAGCTGGCAAGATGTCTACTAAAATGGCTTAGTAAACAAAGTCTGACAGCCGAGCTCACTCTACGGGACTCATGTAGTAGAAGGAGAGAATGGACTCCTGCAAGCTCTCCTCTGACCAACAAGCTTGAGTCACAGCATAAGGGCACATGCTTGCATACCTACACACAACACATTGTTTTTAAGAAGAAGAGGGCTCAGTAAGACATCTCAGCAAGAAAAGAGACCCTTAGTGAAGGCCTGGCAACCTAGGATCCACCTCCCAAACCCAGGTAAGGGTAGAAGGTGAGAACCAACTCCACAAAGTTGGTCTTTCGACTTTCACATGCATGCTGTGAGCTGTGCATAACCACTCCCTCATGCGCACGCGTGCACACACACACACACACACACACACACACACACACAAGAATAATGATGAATGCATTAGTAACGGTGCTGCAGGAATGGCCACAGCTTTGACTCGTCCCTTGACTAGCTCCTAACTTACTGAACCCATTCAAGCTATTCTGTCTTACGCATGCTTAGTCACTTCTCAGCTTCATGCCTCCAAGTCTGGGGCAAATCTCCTCTTTCTTCTCTCCTGAGTTCAGCTACCTGCTGGTTTACATCTCCTCAGCAATACTGGACAAGTCTCCCACGTATCTCACTGTTTCCCAGAATCCTCTCTCTCCCTGCCAGTGCCCCACCTCCTATTTCCTGCCTCAGCTCATTAGCTGTCAGCTTTTTTTATTGACAGGTGGTGCTTATAAGACATCGTCTCTACATGGATGGGCAGCTTCTGGGCTCCTCAGATAACTTGCTGACCTCCTGCCTTCTTCCTGGTTTGGAATTCCACCTTTGTTATACATTTTCTTTCACTGTGTGTGTGGCTTTGGCCCAGTTCCATCTTGGTCATTTGTTCTCTTGACTTCCCCTCATGTTCACTAGCCTGCTTTCCGATGTTCTCCCTTTTAAAAGAATATTGTACACTGGAGATGTGCTAAAAGATTTTATGTACTTCCTATCTCCACACATACAAACGTCAACTATGTGAGACAATACATAACCTAATTTGCCTGACTGTAGTTATTTTCATTACATATTAAATGCATACATAGAACAGATTAGATACCTGACATGTGTACATATATGTACACTTTAACCCAATCTTTTTACAGCCACAAATATGGGTAGTATATTTACACCCACAAATATACATGATATATTTTTCAGCAGAGTCTGAAATCATACAAGTTAGAAAGTAATTTAAAATTCAGTGGAGGGCTGATGAAATATTCATACTCCATTAATAAATATCATAAATAATGCTAATATTAAATTAAACCAATAAACATGACTGTAACAACAATTGCATTCCCTGTGAATCCTGGAATACCCATTAGCATGGATGCAAGGACTCTCTGTGGCTGACAGGGAACAATCTCTAAGATAAACTGACCATGCTGGTAAATGGCCATGTATAAAACAAGGTGTGCAGCATTTGTGGTTTTACACAGTTACTTAGTTGTAAGCTATTCTGGAGAATTAAGAAACTGGTGAATGCTGCACTTTCTAGACAATGGCTCTCTGGCCAGATGGACAGGACTGGCTTCTCACTGTAGACCCCTCTGTTCCTGCGAAGACTTGAATGCATTCATACACACACACACACACACACACACACACATGAGCACACTCGCGAGCATGCACATACAGATATGTATGTGTGTATGTATCCAGATGAACAATATATGTGGCTATATATGATATATCATACATACACTATTAAAACACTCAACTCTGTATAAAAGCATCTTCCGGAACATTCTCACTCTCACCACACAATGAATTTGCTTTGGACAAAGACTGGAGCAACTGTCAAGTCCCAGGCAGTAAATGTGGGGAGGAGGGGTGTGAAGTAAATTTCCTTTCCTGAAATTTTAGGATCATCATAGAAAGAACAATTCTCTGCAGAAGACATGCAGATTTTCCTGTGCCACAAAGCAGGAAATCTGCCCAGAAAACAAGCTGTTTCCAGACACGCTCAGCTCAGAAAAATCCCATGAAGTTCACAGAGAGAAAACTTTGCCGTGTAGTCTGGTCTCCGGTGTTTACAGTGCAGACTGTTTGCTGTCCTCACCTCTTATCTCCTCCATGGTCACCAGGTGTGGAGGAAAAGTCAGCGGCTTCCTCCCATTACTGCTTCTGAGAGGACCCACCTACCTTCCACAAAGCCTCTACAGAGATGGGGCTAGTCCTACCTGCTGAAGGGAAAAGCCCTAATTTTTGCTCATTTTAAATTGGGTCTAGTATCTTCCTGTTCAGCTCTTTTGTGTTTCTTTGTTTGCTTATTTGCTTGGTTTGGGGTTTTTGTTGTTGTTTTTCCTTTTGGAGGCAGGATCTTCCTATGCAGGCTCAGGGTGGCCTAGAACTCACAAGCCACCTGCCTCAGCTGCCAGCGTTACCACTCAACCACAGGCCTGCCTTACCATGCCCATCTGAAACTGTTATAGCTGTGTTGGTTTTGAGACAGAGTTTCATGTAGCCCAGATTAACCTTGAACTCTCTATATAGTATAGAGGTGGTCTTGAACTTCTGAAACCCCTGCTAGGTCCAAGGTAGGTACTGGTATATCTGGCTTCTAGGTCTGTGCAGTGCTGGAGAATGACCCTCAGGCCTCAAACCCTGGGCCTCGTGAACACTAAACAAATGTGCTACCAACTGAGCTTTCTTAAACCTATGTTTTTAATTTACTATTCTTTATATATCTTTTCAATGATCCTTTCTTTAAAGGAGTTAGGCTATATACATCATAAATAAAATTCTAAGCCAGTGGTGTTTCAACCTTCTAAGGCTGTGATACAGTCCCTCATGTTGTAGTGACCCCCCAACCATAAAATTCTTTTAGTTGCTACTTCATAACTGTAACTTTGCTACTGTTATAAATCACAATGTAAATATCTGTGTTTTTCCATGGTCTTAGGTGGCTCTTATGAAAGAGGTGTTCAACCTCCAAAGGGGTCCCGACCCACAGGTTGAGAAACACCGTAAGCTGTTGCTCGTGGGTATCCATCATGAGCGGGTCTTCTCTGCGCCCAAATAAGTAGATCTTCCTATTCACCAAGCTA